AAGGAATTTTGAAAAAGTGCAGAAATTTCTCTACCTAAGCTGAGTGGATGAAGTTATTCGAGATTTGTGTTGTTAGGAGCTTAGTGAACGAAGTTGCTCAATATTTGTGTTGCTAGGCAACACTAAGTACCCGGTGGATTGGTCGAGGTTCACACAAGGTAGCCTAGATACAACACTTATAAAGAGAAAAGTTTATATTGCTCAAGTAAAGTTTATAAGAGTGATTAGCTTATTTTATCTTTACTTTGTCATATGAGGTTACTTGGTTCTGTAAATTTCCTTGTTCTGCTCTTCTTATATCTTTTGTCACTAACTTAAAAAGGAGTTATCTTCTTAATAATCTTAAAGAAGTTTCCCCGATTAATAAATATGAAAGGATGTACGAATTGATAAAATGAGAAACTTATTGCAGTCATGTTAGTTGATTCTTGACATTTCACTTACAGACTTGACGTTTAATTTTTGAATGCTACATTTCTCTTTTTACTATTAAGTTTTGATTTTTGATGGTGTGTGGCACGTGGAGTCGTTTAGTTTATGCTTTTTGTGGTTTCTTTTTCAGCAATGAAATTGAAAAATCCCCCAAATAGATTATGATGGTGCTGCACCAACTTATGCATATATGTTATCATGTTGTGTTGGTTTGATTTTCGTGTCTCTTTTATCTTTTATGATGTTTTCAACCAAACAAAAAAAAAGCAACATATGAATTTTAGTCACACGGGATGACCTAGCGACTGAGAAACTGTTGAAACAAAATTGAGAATTGAGGTTGAATTTCCAACAGAGGAGTAACTGAAAAAGTGTAGAAATTCCTTGCAGTTGCCTAAAGCTTAGTGAACAGAGCTACTCGATATTTCTATTGCTAGGTCCCAACAGAGAAATAATTGAAAAAGTGCTGAAACTCCTTGCATCTGCCTAAGCTTAGTGGGCGTTGCTCGATGTTTTTGAATTTTCCTGATGAACAATTGAGGTTTGGATAGCTAACTATTACGAGATTCTTTGACTATTAAATAAAAATGAGTCTTTTCTCGACTAAAAGAATCTCTTTTTAGTTTTAGCCATATAGTTTAGACTCTTTGAAAATGTTCACTAAAAAAAATTTGAAAGATATATCATATAAAGCGTTCTTATATTGTGATTTAGTTAATTATATATAATGTATTATACCCGTGCACACTCGCGCACAAATATTCATACCCTGCCTCTACTATGATGGCATGAGTTGAACACAAAGTTCTACCAAATCTTAATTACATCCCAAATAGTTTTGCAATTCAAGAGGAAATACTCTAGGTTCTCATATTGATAATCACTTGGTACGTATGCTTTCAGTTTTTGTATGTTTTGTCAAATACTTATGATTATGAAAATGTATCAAAAGGAGGACTGTGTTTTCTCCCAATAAATATGACAGTTATTTTTTCTAGCTCTGTGATGCTTAAGGTAGTGTGAATGTAAATAGTTACTTTAATTTTCAAAAAAAGAACTGTGAGTAGTTGTGGTGTGGACCTCTCACCTATGACCAAGATAGTGTGTTTCCAAAATGGAAGCTTTGAACTTGTGAGTTGTCACTCCTCATTTCTCCTTTGAAAGTAGAAAGATATTTGAACTCCCATAGTTAGGTTCAAGGATGATGATAATTATTATAGCTGATGGGAATTGTGAGAAAGTTATTGCATTGAATTGAACAGAAAGACTTTATCGATATAAATCAATGGATTGATTTTTTATTGTGAGATCTAAATAAAACTAGCATTTGATTTTTTGGTTGATTCATTGTCATAAAATTCAGACTTCACACGTAAAAATTGCAACTCAAAAATGCTGATTGGTTGATTTGTTTGTATAAGTTTTAAACCTTGTAGTTTGGTGTAATATCAGTCTGAGTACTTCACATTGCAGAAGCAACTCTTTGGCATAGACACTGACACTTTGAAGCAATCTTATGGTCTCTGTCTTGAAGAGGTTGACGCTGATAAATAAATACAGCTAGCAAAACAGCTAACTGATTTTTGGATAAATATGATAGTGGTTAAGAATATAAAAGTACCGCACTTGTGCGATTACACTTGGTATGTTGTATTAAGAAAATAAAAACTAGATAGATTCTTTTATAGATATACTGCTTGTATGCATGGGTTTTCACCCAATTTGATGGATATTTATATCGCCTGCATGTCGGGGGAGGGGAGGGGGGTCAATATAGTGTACTGTACTCCCAAAAAAAACAGTGATTTATTTGGGAGCACTCCTGTTTGTTTGTTTGATTGTGGCATGAACTTAGTGTGATAGTTTAATTTATTTTCATTTTTGCAATATTGTTAAGTTTTTATGAACTATGTCTTCGTTTTACAGGACAGTTCCAAGACATTGCAGGTTGAAACATATGTTTGGTTTAACAAGAGGGATCCAAATTTACATGGGGAATGGGACTTTGAGGTAAATTTGTGAGCTCATATATCTGCCTCTCCCTTCATTGCTTGTTGTACTAATATATGAAGAAGGGATATACTTTTTCCTGTCCCGTCTTCGGTTCTTTTCATTTTGATTGGACCTTGCATTTAGAAAGTGCATTATGTTGCAAAGGGTTATATCTACTTTTTTGGTTGCCTGATCTTAAGCCCAAAGCAGGTGGCGGATTTGGTAAAAAGTTTACAAGCATATAATCTACATATCTCTGCCTGTGAGTAGACCAGGAACTGCACTCTATAGCTTACGTACTGTCCATGAAATCTCTGCAGACTTTTTTGGTGCACTTTTCCTGTTTCTAACCAATTTTTGCAATCTTCTTGCAGCCATTGTTCCCTGGAGAAAATACTGTGGACCAGCTTGTTGAGATAACCAAGGTGTTGTGTGATAAATTCTTGTTTACTGATGCAAATATTGTAGCAGGTTTGCAGTGATCTAGACTTCTATTGCTTACTGATTCTTGTGTCATTTGCTTCATCTTATAGGTACTTGGAACACCGACAAGGGAGGAAATTCGCTGTATGAATCCAAACTATACTGATTTTAGGTTTCCACAAATCAAAGCACACCCTTGGCATAAGGTATGCTTTCACTTGACTTTAGTCGTACCTCGTGGAACAACAATTTGTTGTCTTGCTGCTTGCTGTGTGTATCATTCCTCTTAAATTTTGTACTGAGAGTTTATTTTCATTCTTTTCTCTTTTCTTTGTAATTTTATTATCAAATATCTTAATTAATTGCTAAAGTAGTGACTCTATTGTTTGTGGTAAGAATATTGTTCTCAATAGATAAACATAATTTACCAACATGTCTAGAAATTAGGCTCTGAACTTTTGTAAATCTTGTTGTATAGATTTGGATGTCGTAAAAATTGAAGTTATGCAGATATGTTTCATTTTCTTCATGGAAGAAAACCTTTTAAGCCAAAAATGTCTTTCTGCTTTGGGATAAACATGTCTGCACCAGTATAGTACTTTCTCTTCACTCACTTCTTTTTGAATTTTTTAAATTTGTTGCCTCCATTTTAATTGTTTGTCTTAGTTTGACTTGACACGACACATAACTTTTAAATCTTGTAGTCACAAACTAAAGATGTGTATAATGCACTTAATATGTCTGACAGAATGTTGGACATAAGAATTGCTAAATAGAAAAAAGTGATTATTTTTTAAGCAAACTAAAAGAAAATAAGACAAATAAATTGAAAAGGACGTAGAAAATTAGCTAGACTTAATAACTAGGATAAGTAGGGGATATATTTAAATATATATGTCATGTGTGAATCCTTTGTCATGTTGAGCTTCACTGATCCTTTATGGCTTTTGTATATTTTGATAGTATGAATTGTTTCCTCTACAACACCAACCAAAAGAGCTTTATTTATTATTTATCATATAGTCTTTCCATGTCATCATGATGTTTCATCAGATTTTGCTCTATTGATTGTAAATTTCACTTGTAATAGTAAAGGGTGCCTTCTCTTGTTTTGTCTGCATACTGTTTGGATGGTTGGTATATATTGTTCAGCATACTGGTTGATTTACTATAAGCCACACTATCAAACCATATGTATAAAGCTGCAACACAGAGGTTATTATTTTGTTGTGTTCATTGATATGTAGGATATGAAAATAATTTTCCTTCAAGATTTTGTACATATGTTGCACTATGCTAGGTGATCTATAATCTGTATTATTGTGTACAAAGGACTTGTGTTACTTGTGTACAAAGACCCTTCCACATTAACTAAATATTTGAGATTTCATAATTTGAATTAGGCTACTTTGTGCTCTTTTATTCTTGAGGTTTCTCTAATTATATATGTTTAACTAAGTATTCAACTTTGAACCTATATATTTCTCTCTTTTTTCACAGGTACTTTTTGCCAGGATGATAAGCGATAAAAATGTACCACTACATAAATGATACACATACTACATAAATGATACACATTCAACGTAAATGAAATGTAGCTAGGAACTTATTTTATGCATTTAGCTCAAAAAATTTGTTTAATGTTGGGCCCGTACTTGTACGGGCCATCTCTACCTAGTTGAAATAGAAAATCATTAATAGCACCCCACTAACTTATAAAGGAAAAACCAATAGCAATTACATTGTTCTTCAAAAAGTAAACATATTTTTTCCTTTGAATAATGGCATCTCACACGTGGTCAAATTTTCTTATAAAATTTGAGAAATAACAAGGCATATCCAGGGGAAAATCGATTCCAAACTTTTCAATTCTTATCCAATTTCTAACCGACTTAATTTAATATCAATGATATAAATTCTACACATAATACAATACAAGAAGAGTATGGTTGACCTGATGCATATTGTTCAATACTCTGGCAATCGCAAAAGTCATTGTCATCGTCCTTGTTTTAGAATGAGTCGAAATAAGCTTATACAATAACTAACATTATATTAAACCCTACCAACTTAATTCAATACATGGGTAAAGTAGTATAGAGTACTAAATAACTTATGGATCGACCCATTAACTAATTATTAAATTAAATTTTAAAAATTTATCCACTAATTAAATAAACATAGTTGAATGAGTAATTCTAAATTCCCATTAAAATTTACGAAAAGGGTTCTTTATGAAAGAAAGATAAATAGTTCTCAAAATGGCCTAACAGGTCATTACATTATCCACCACTAAAAATCATGTTCGTCTTAGAACATAAAGAAGAAGAAGAAAAAAGAGGAAGAATAACTTACGTTACCATAAGTCTAAGTTGTGATCTTGTAGAGTCGGTGTTCATCTCTCCTAGTGAGCTCATGTTTAAGAAAATTTCATCTAGATCAACTACTAAAAATTGAACTTCCGAATCGAACCTTGGAAGATCTATAGATCAAGAGTAATTATCAAGTTGTAAACTAACTCATGAACCCAATCTAAAGTGAAGCCCATTTGACCTCAACACAACCTTCATGATGAATATTTTCTTACATGACCAAGCCTTCTGAATCAATAGTGACTACAAGCAGAAGTGAAATTTAACCAACCACCACACTTAGAATGTACAACCATCACAAATCTATCAAAAGTTCATTTTCACAATACAATCTTTCCACGAACTTAAGTTGTAAAAATATGATCTTTAAACATCAAGTACTAATTAAGGGAAAATCAAACTTATCTAACCCAAGAACAACAAGATCAAGTAACAACATAGCTAGCAATACACCTAAGCTAATAGAACCTCTTATATAGGTTCTCATAAACAAAGTTGTGCGTGCAAAATTTCTTATATACTTCAACTTCCAAACAAAATCAAACCTATCATAACAGAAGTAATCAATTCTGCCCAAGGATCTCATCATATCAAGGGACATAAGAGGATCGGTACATTCGATCCACAACTAAGAATTCACCTATAGATGTGAAAACAGGCATAATATAAGTAGGTAATCATACTCCAAATAGTGTCCAATACGAAGAAGGTGGTCATATAAGAATATATAGAACCAAGATTGAAGAACACTACACACTTCTTTCAAAATGCCCGTGTCAAATATTTCCATTCATCTAACTACATCACTCAATTTTTAGATACTTAAAATGAACCAGTCTTATCCCCATTACAATCTTACACATACTTGATTAATCAAATCCCACATACTCTCACAATACTGTGATAAAGCCACCATTTTTAATACTATCAAACATTCTAACCACACTAGACACTTAATCTTTTTCTCAAACCATCACCAGTATCAAAGTTTTCTTAGCAAACATATCATCTTTTCTAATTTTTTTATTATTATTTTTGAACGATGGCTTCATCTCTTACATGGCAGATATGAATCACACAAAAGACAGATAACACTAATTTTAAATCTAAAATACTTTTCCATCGAAGTATAATCATCGATTCACACTCAATTTTAATTTCACGTAATCTTTCATATACCAAATATCGACTTATATTCATGACAATCATGTACCCAATGTAAAAATTTAAAGAAATCCTTGGTCATACCAATAATTTCGTATACTATAAGCTCATAACCTCTATTCACCATCAAATGTCTATGTAACACTAACACAGTCTATATAGTTTGATCAACGAAGAAGTTTCAATACCCTCAAAACATTCATTTCATATTGCAGTGTCCCCATAAGTCATCTACCACAATTTGAACAACCCCAAACGAACATAAAAATGTAACATCTTCCACACGCCAATGTTTATTACTTGAAGAAAACTCAATCCTCGTAAAAAATAATTGTTAAACCTCTAGTAATTTCGTACCGTACCTATTTATATATCATAGTCATACCTAAACACAAGAAAAAAATTCAAACAACCTTCCACTTCGAACGGATGGTCTATTGAGATGTCTTATTTCTTCACTTTCTTAAATTATTCCGCTGATGCAAATTTCAAATACCTTAAACTCTTCGATACATCAACCTCTTTTTTCTTTCACTGACTTGCTTATCAATCTTATTCTTTGACTAAAACCCATGATATTTTTATTCTTATCCTAGAAATCAAAACATTCTGTGGAATCTCATTTAGGTATAACAATAAAAAGTAATCAAATTTACTACTCAATTATTTTTAAGTCTTTCCAAATGTTTCATTATTTCCAAATGTTTCATACTCTATGTGGTCAATCATTTCTTACCCCTTATTAATACATACCTTGAAAAAACACACTACCACAAATCTAAACTCACAATGAAAAACTTGAATTTTGAATTCAACTATGTAACCCAATCCTTTTATCTATTGACATTAATTCATATATTGAAAATATTTACATATTTGCACATCTTAGCTTATTATTGATTGCCTATCCATCGACCTTTCCACACACTTTCTTAAAAATTCAATGGTACCCGTTACCAAACTCAAAATTATAAAAGAACTTATCACCACACTCGAGTCGAACTGTGTATGTTTCTTTCTCAATTCTTACCTAATATTTTTTTGATCAATTTGATGAACATGTGACACTAATACCATAACCAAAGTGAAACAGATTAAATCACGTGTCCTTGAACTAAATTCTCAACACTCTAAAGATATATCTTTGTCTTTTATAATTATAGTAAATATCGCTTTTCTCAATTGCATCTTTCCAATGACTAAAATACATCCACTAATTCTTTTCCATTTATGACTCTATCTCTTTTCAATTCTATTCAAGAGGATTTTTCAACACATCCTACAACTTTTCATACAACCACATTACTCATTAAATAGTGGAAAACGACGTTATTACCATTCACACTCGTTTAACCCTCAATTCTTATTATATGACTTTGTCTCAATCACAATCCATAACAAACTCCTATTACCATCATGCTTAGTTAGCTCTTGTTATCACCACGAAGTCAACTATTTTATCAATATAACACTTTAAACCCAGTTACCCAAATCCAATCCAAAGAACTAACCTACTTTTATCCGCACTTCCTTACTAAACTCTTAATTATTTTCACACAAATATACTCTTTAGGACTTTAAGCATGTCATTCATATATTGATCCACTTTCTTGGACCTTACAATGAAATCACCAATCCTCATTTAAAACATTCGAAATACACTTCACAACCTAAATATATTTATACTATACCAAAGATCCACCACCAAGATTCCCCTTACAAACAATGCTTAACTCATTTGTCCGTAGTAACAAGCTAGTTGTTTACTC